AATGGCACGATCTCAGCTCACCGCAACCTCCGTCTCCTGGGTTCAGGCAATTCTCCTGCCTCAGCCTCCTGAGTAGCTGGGATTACAGGCACGCACCACCATGCCCAGCTAATTTTTTGTATTTTTAGTAGAGACGGGGTTTCACCATGTTGACCAGGATGGTCTCGATCTCTTGACCTTGTGATCCACCCGCCTCGGCCTCCCAAAGTGCTGGGATTACAGGCTTGAGCCACCGCGCCCAGCTCCTTTTTTTTTTTTGAGACAGTCTTGCTCTGTTGCCAAGGCTGGAGTACAGTGGAGCGATCTCAGCTCACTGCAACCTCCGCCTCACGGGTTCAAGCGATTCCCCTGCCTCAGACTCCTAAGTAGCTGGGACTACAGGTGCCCACCACCATGCCCAGCTAATTTTTGTAATTTTAGTAGAGATGGGGTTTCACCATGATGGCCAGGCTGGTCTCTAACTCCTGACCTCAGGTGATCCACTCGCCTTGGCCTACCAAACTGATGGGTTTACAGGCGTGAGCCACTGTGCCTGGTGCCCAAAGGAACTTTCTACACACACATATCCCTTTTTCTCCCTCCTTCCCTCAACCCTTAAAGGAAGTATCATTTCTCAATTTACAGATAAGGAAATAAAATGGCAAAGCTGAGGTTCATTCCCTGGCATGGACCTGGTTCCGAATCCAGTTTTCTTTCCCCAGCATCGTAATATTGGCTGCCTGAAAATGTCTTCACAAACGCAGTGTCCTGGGGTCAGGCTGGTCAAGCACAGCCTAACAAGGTACCACTCTCTCAGGTAAGAATGTCTCCTCCTCTCCAAAAAATATCCTGTGGTAGAGGCCCACAAAACCTTGGCATCAGCAGCAGTTAATGATCTATGTCTGAAAAATTTCACCAAAGCCAATAAACTATCTGAAGCATGAAGGGACTGCCTTTATCGTGTCCAGGACATGGTGAGGATATGATGTATAGCCTTAGTTTCCTAACCTGCCTGCACATCAGAATAGATAGATTCTTAAATGAAAATAGGCTGGGCGCGGTGGCTCACACCTATAATCCCAGCACTTTGGGAGGCCGAGGCGGGTGGATCACGAGGTCAAGAGATCGAGACCATCCTGGTCAACATGGTGAAACCCCCTGTCTCTACTAAAAATACAAAACATTAGCTGGGCGTGGTGGCGCGTGCCTGTAATCTCAGCTACTCAGGAGGCTGAGGCAGGAGAATTGCTTGAACCCAGGAGGCGGAGGTTGCGTTGAGCTGAGATCGCGCCATTGCACTCCAGCCTGGGTAACAAGAGCGAAACTCCGTCTCAAAAAAAAAAAAAAAAAAAGAAAAGAAAATATGTAGGCCAGGCGTGGTGGCTCACGCCTGTAATCCCAGCACTTTGGGAGGCCGAATCACCTGAGGTCAGGAGTTTGAAACCAGCCTGGCCAACATGGTAAAACACCGCCTCTACTAAAAATACAAAAATTAGGCCGGGTGCAGTGGCTCCCGCCTGTAATCCCAGCACTTTGGAAAGCCAAGGTGGGCAGATTGTGAGGTCAGGAGTTCGAGAACAGCCTGGCCAAGATGGTGAAACCCCGACTCTACTAAAAATACAAAAATTAGCCATGCATGGTGGTGGGCGCCTGTAATCTCCGCCACTTGGGAGACTGAGGCAGGAGAATTGCTTGCACCTGGGAGACGGAGGTTGCAGCGAGCCACGATTGTGCCACTGCACTCCAGCCTGGCTGACAGAGCAAGAATATCTCAAAAAAAGAAAAAAAGGCTGGTTGGGATAGCTCAGGCCTATAATCCCAGCACTTTGGGAGGCTGAGGTGGGTGGATCACCTGAGGTTGGGAGTTTGAGACCAGCCTGACCAAGATGGAGAAACCCCATTGCAAAGCCCCAGTTTCTGGTTCTGTTCAATGAGAACTGAAAAAATAACCACCACCCACCTTCTTTCTCTGTCAAGAAGGTGTCAAGTAAGCTAGTGTTTGGGAATGGCCTAGGAAAAGCCAAAGTGCTTTACAAAAAGAGATGTTTGGCCAAGTGCAGTGGCTCACACCTGTAATCCTAGCACTTTGGGAGGCCAAGTCAGATGGATCACTAGAGGCCAGGAGTTCGAGACCAACCTAGCCAACATGGTGAAACACTCTCTCTACTAAAAATACAAAAAAATTAGCCAGGCGTGGTGATACACACTTGTAATCCCAGCTGCTCCAGAGGCTGAGGCAGAATTGCTTGAACCCAGGTGGCAGAGGCTGTAGTGAGCTGAGATCATGCCACTGCACTCCAGCCTGGGCCGAGTAGGACACTGTCTCTCTCTTTTTTTTTTTTTTTAAGTTCAAACTCATTTCCCTTTTATTAAAGTACAGGTTACCATTACATGGCTTGGTACTCAATAAAGGAAAACTTATTCAAATAAGGTAATATGTTTTCATCAGTATTTCCAGGTGACTACACTCAAGTAGCAATATCAATAAATCCTTGGGAAGCCCATCCATGGGGTTTACACTTTGTCAAGGCCCAGTTACTCTGGAGTGGAGATTCCCAGTTTATTTAAATTTGGTCTAAGTTCCTGGATGACACAGGGGTAGATTTCCTTATAAGGTCCTGCTTTGTCCTTAACAGCCTCTAGGATGCGAACTGTAGTAGCAAAATCATTTAACGGTCTGCGTGCCCGCAAAGCAGCATCAATGATTTTGGGCTCTGAGGACCCTGTCTCCAAAAAAAAAAAAAAAAAGGAAAGAAAAGAAAAAAAGCAGCTGTTCACCTGTCACCGATTCTTTACATTGTGTTGCTGTTCCGTATTAAAATTTAGACCAATAATTAAACTCCAATTCTTTTACAGCAATAAGAGTCAGGCAAAAGTCACTCTTTTTTTTATTTTTGAGACAGAGTATCACTCTTGTTGCCCAGGCTGGAGTGCAATGGCACCATCTCAGCTCACTGCAACCTCCACCTCCTGGGTTTAAGCGATTCTCCTGTCTCAGCCTCCCAAGTAGCTGGGATTACAGGCATGCACCACCACACCCGGCTAATTTTTCATATTTTTAGTAAAGACAGGGTTTCACCATGTTGGTCAGGCCAGTCTCCAACTCCTGACATCAAGTGATCCGCCCGCCTTGGCCTCCCAAAGTGTTGGGATTACAGGCATGGACCACCACACCCGGCCCAAAAGTCACCCTTCCTCGCAAAATGATGCCAAGTATATTTAATTGGTGAAGAACTAACTTGGTTGTGGAGATGTCAAACTGCCTAAGTAAGTACAGTACATAATACAAATTACAATCTGGAGTGGAAATATGCAAACAGTGCTATTAATGACTAAGTAACATATTAATGACTAATCTCAATCATATTTCATTGAGTCCAGTGTAACTGCTTAGAAAAATTTTATTAGCAGTTAAAATTATGTTTCAACATATGTATACAACTATATATCATTGATATAAATTAACAAAGGTTCTTTTCTTTTAACGTTTTTCAAATTAGTTTGTAAACACCCCAACTCATCTTTAATAGCACAACCCCTATTTTCTAGACACCAATTTATTGTACTTACTGATTTGGATCTGATCCATAATCCACCAGAACATCAACTAATTTCATAAGGCCCAATAATGCTGCAACAAAAAGTGGTGTTTGTCCCAAGGAGTTAACTGCATCAACACAAATTCCTGCAAAGAAAATACCAGAATCAATGCAAATATCAGTAATTTTCCTGAGATGGAACTGGGTGGGAAGAGAGGAGGGAATTAAATGTCTTTATAGTGTACTTTCATATATTGCTGTGAGCTTTTATTTATTTATTTTTTATTTTATTTTATTTTTTGAGACGGAGTTTCGCTCTTGTTACCCAGGCTGGAGTGCAATGGCGCGATCTCGGCTCACCGCAACCTCCACCTCATGGGTTCAGGCAATTCTCCTGCTTCAACCTCCTGAGTAGCTGGGATTACAGGCGTGAGCCACCGCGCCCGGCCTGCTGTAAGCTTTTAAAAAAAAAAAAAAAAAAAAAAATTTGCCGGGCGCGGTGGCTCAAGCCTGTAATCCCAGCACTTTGGGAGGCCGAGGCGGGTGGATCACGAGGTCAAGAGATCGAGACCATACTGGTCAACATGGTGAAACCCCGTCTCTACTAAAACTGCAAAAAATTAGCTGGGCATGGTGGCGCGTGCCTGTAATCCCAGCTACTCAGGAGGCTGAGGCAGGAGAATTGCCTGAACCCAGGAGACGGAGGTTGCGGTGAGCCGAGATCGCGCCATTGCACTCCAGCCTGGGTAACAAGAGCGAAACTCCGTCTCAACAAAAAAAAAAAAAAAAATTTTTTTTTTTTAAAGAAGACCTTCATTAGTTGGACATAGATACACTGGAAGGCAACCTGTGTTTATTCATCAAAAATATTTACAGAAAGTTGCATTGAAGCATTTATTTCACCATACTTTGGTATATTATAACAAAAAGCCAAAAGAATAACAACCAAAACCAGATAGAAAATAAGGAAAAAAGTAAGTAGATGTCAAACATGGCTTTCCTACCAAGAAGAAATTAATCCTCCAGAATACCAAAAACCAACAAGATACATAAAAACTATAATACATAAAAACTGTAACTCCCCAAACCTGGCCAAGCGCTGTGGCTCACACCTATAAGCCCAGAACTTTGAGAAGCCAAGGCAGGTGAATTACCTGCGACCGAAAAGCTCAAGACCACTCTAACCAACGTGGCAAAAACCATCTCTTTACCAAATCTACAAAAATTAGCAGGGTACAGCAGCACCCCTATAACCCCAATTACTCAAAAAACTAAAGCAGAACAAAACTGTTTAACCGGAGAGTATATACAGTGACTTGAAATAACTCACAACCCATTCAAAGCCAAAACGGAAAGAAAAATCCACTACTTCTCATATGAAAAACTAATTTTTTTTCAAAGCAAGTTACACAAAAAGTCTGGAGAACAGCACCTACTTGCTAAGTACAACAAACCTAACCTTAATACAAAAATAAAGCGGAAACCACTCAGACTGCGTTCTCTCCCTCTAGCTCTTCCAGAGGAAGAGAAGAACGATCATCAATAGCAAATGGTAGCTGCAATAACGCAACACCAAAGGCCAGCTTCACGCTCAGGAGAGAACACTGCACCTCCTCCTCGTGGTTTCCGGTGCTCTACACGTTCAGAGAAACTTCTCTAGTAACAAACTATAGAAATGATCCCTGAAAGTATAGTCTTAACTTTGGTCTGTATGTCTTCCCGATGCGGAAGAAACTCACACACATTTTGCTGATGGTGAGTTTTTTGTAGGCACCATTATCTCTGAAGAATGCTGATATATGTTTTTCTAAAAACCATATTTCTATTACCAAAGTTCGACAAAGCCTTTAAAATAAGCTCAAAATTTCGAAGATATCTTAGGCACTCATGCTAATTAACATATGGTAGCAAAACAGCCAATCACTCGCCAGTTACTTCCTAACCCTTCCCCACTTTCTCTACATGTAACACTGACGACTATAAAATGCGCCGGCGCGCCAGAAACTGTCAGGGACACACCTCGGTTGAGGCTAATGATCCGGGAATACCTTGAGAAGAACTAAAGCGTGAATGTGAAAGCGACAATTCAAAACCAGAGTATGATATCTGCATAGCACACCCTATTAAATTTTATCCTGTGATCAAAATTCCAGACATGTAAATGTGATATTGTGCTGGCCTAGAGCCAGAACCTGAGCAACCCCATTTTTATAAAATGCAAAACTGGCCGGGCGCGGTGGCTCACGCATATAATCCTAGCACTTTGGGAGGCCGAGGCGGGTGGATCACGAGGTCAAGAGATCGAGACCATCCTGGTCAGCAAGGTGAAACCTCGTCTCTACTAAAAAAATACAAAAAATTAGCTGGGCATGATGGTGCGTGCCTGTAGTCCCAGCTACTCGGGAGGCTGAGGCAGGAGAATTGCTTGAACCCAGGAGGCGGAGGTTGTGGTGAGCCGAGATCGTGCCATTGCACTCCAGTCTGGGCAACAACAGAGAAACTCCGTCTCAAAAAAAATAAAAAATAAAAAAAATTAAAAAATAAAATAAAATAAAATGCAAAACTGTTTTTTTAAATAAGTTGCAACAGCTGCCCCATTCTCCTCACAATAACTGCTGGCCTTGGCTTCTGTAAATAGAACTGCTAGTTTGTTCTGCAAACTATGTAAAGCTGCTTACCTTTTTTTATCAGTAACTGCCAGAATTGCTAGCCTTTGCTTACTGGTAATAACTAAAATAAGCAGCCCAGGATAACTAAGATCTGTGACTTCTATCACTACCCAGACGATGTGTAAACAAATGCTTATCTTGACTTCTGTAAACCACTGAAGTAACAAACAGAATGACAAAAGTCCCCTGGCCCTTGGAATGTCCGGAGACCCCCCACCCTAGTCTCCACCCAGGAGGTGAATTACAGAATCCCCTGGACCTTGGAATGTCTGAAACCTTTTCATCCCCATCCCCACTCCTCACCCCCACTCCCAAGGTGGTTTTCGGGTATAAAAAGTCTTGGCACCCACCTTTCGACGCCACAGGTTGGAGAGACGTGAGTCCTCTGTGGTTGCCGGCATAATAAATGACCCTGCAATCTGGCATACTTTTGTCTTGGTGCTGTCTATGCTCGGTCCAGTACAACATAAATATTTTAGATTTCTTCCCCCAAAACCAGGGAAGTTTTATTCTACATGGCATTGCTGTGTTTATTTTTTGGGACTGGGTCTTGCTCTGTCTCCCAGTCTGGCCTTGAACTCCTGGACTCAAGCGATCCTCCAACATCAGCCTTCCAAAATGTTGGCATTATAGGTATGAGCCACCACACCTGGCCATTGCTGTGTTTAATCAAACAGGACAATATATTCCTCTGGTTTAAGCTTCGGTAGCTTCCCATTTCTTGAGGTAGAGACAAAACTTCTCTATATACTTATGTGAGAAAATATTTTAAATGGCCCATTTTCAAGGAATAATAAATCTAAGTACTGGCAGCCAGCCTGCAAATGTAACTAACCACACAGCTCATGCACCTAGAAGGTCACGATAAGCGAACAGAATGTAGAGGAGGGGTCAGGCCATAAAAGGGAAAAAGTTTCATTATTGGGAAATTGAAACTTAAGGAAGGGGACAGGGTATAACCTTCTAAGGGTGATAATGAAACTTAGGTGACATCAGGGAAGATTGTAACCTCATAGTTACAACCAATGAGGAACTGGGGGAGGGACTTGTATGCTGGGAAATAAATTATACCAGACACCCAATCTTGCAAGACCCTTATTAAAAGTCTAACTTTTGCCGGGCGCGGTGGCTCACGCCTGTAATCCCAGCACTTTGGGAGGCCGAGGCGGGTGGATCACGAGGTCAAGAGATCGAGACCATCCTGGTCAACATGGTGAAACCCCGTCTCTACTAAAACTACAAAAAATTAGCTGGGCATGGTGGCACGTGCCTGTAATCCCAGCTACTCAGGAGGCTGAGGCAGGGGAATTGCCTGAACCCAGGAGGCGGAGGTTGCGGTGAGCCGAGATTGCGCCATTGCACTCCAGCCTGGGTAACAAGAGCAAAAAAACTCCGTCTCAAAAAAAAAATTTCAAAAAAAAAAAAAGTCTAACTTTCAAGGCTGGACATGGTGGCTCACTCCTGTAATACCAGCACTTTGGGAAGCCGAGGCAGGTGGATCACGAGGTCAGGAGTTCAAGACCAGCCTGGCCAAGGTGGTGAAATTCCGCCTCTACTAAAAGCACAAAAATTAGTTGGGCATGGTGGTGCACACCTATAGTAACAGCTACTCCGGAGGCTTAGACAGGAGAATTGCTTCAACCTGGAAGGTGGAGGTTGCAGGGAGCCAGGATTGCACCACTATACTCCAGCCTGGGCAACAGAGTCTGTTGCCAAAAAAAAAAAGAGGCAAAGCCAAAAAGTAGGCAAGAGATTAGAGAAAAACCTGGAAGAAATGGGTCACAGTGACAAGGAAGGTTAAGAGCTTCAAAAAGAAGGATCAGTCAATAGTATCAAAGTCTGAGACATCTAGTAAGAAGACACTGGGCTGAGTATGGGGGCTCAGGCCTGTAATCCTAGCACTTTGGGAGGCTGAAGCCAGGAGTTCACTTAAGGCCAGGAGTTCAAGACCAGCCTGACCGACATGGTGAAACCCTGTCTCTACTAAAAATACAAATACAAAAATTACCCAGGCTTGGTGGCACATGCCTGTAATGCCAGCTACTCGGGAGGTTGAGGCAGGAGTTTTGCTTGAACCTTAGAGGCAGTCATTACAGTGAGCTGAGATCATGCCACTGCACTCCAATCTGGGCAACAGAGTAGGACCATGTCTCAAATAAAAAAGAGGAAAAAACAGTGTTCTTGGTGAGAGCAGTGCTAGTGGGGTTCACATGTCTTACTGCTCAGGGCTTGCTGTGTTATATTTGCAGTATGTCTGTGTCCTCTACCAGACTGTCTCTCCTACAACAGAGGGTAGGAACTGCAAAATATATCTCCCCTACCTTCAGTGCCTTGTTCACTTATCTGCCCAACACAAGGCAGACTAAGTAGAGAAGAACAGCAGAGAACCAGCAAAAGGACAATTCTGCATGCATCTCTCAGAGTTATGCATGTCATGAGGGCAAAGCACTAACCTGTTCAGGGCACCTCTTTGAAGATATTTGTATAGTGAACTTTGGAAGATAGATAGTATCTACATTCAGAGCAAAATGAATAGATGCTTACCATCCAGTATAATAAAAATAATATCTCCGGCCAAGCACAGTGGCTCACGCCTGTAATCCCAGCATTTTGGGAGGCTGAGGCAGGTAGATCACCTGAGGTCAGGAGTTCGAGACCAGCCTGGCCAACATGATAAAATTCCATCTCTACTAAAACTACAAAAATTAGCTGGGCATGGTGGAGGGTGCCTGTAATCCCAGCTACTCAGGAGGCTGAGGCAGGAAAATCGCTTGAACCCAGGAGATGGAGGTTGCAGTGAGCTGAGATCACACCATTGCACTCCAGCCTGGGTTGACAGAGCAAAACGCTGTCTCAAAAAAAAAAAAAAAAAAAAAAAAAAAAGTTAAAAGAAAAGGAAACAATGCTGATATTCTTGCTACTGCTGTTGCTATGAGTAATAAACCATCATTCATCTATGACCCCAAGAGAAGGGTCATCTATCTATACACCTGTAACAGTCTGATTTATCAAATCTCAAACTATTCATAGTTATTGACAGGAAGAAATTACAGTCAAGGAGGCAAAAAATTAAATCAACTAAGGACTTCAAGGGGTTCTCTCTCTCTCTCTTTTTTTTTAAGATGGAGTCTCGCTCTGTTGCCCAGGCTGGAGTGCAGTGGCAAGATCTTGGCTTACTGCAACCTCTGCCTCCCAGTTTCAAGTGATTCTCCTGCCTCAGCCTCCTGAGTAGCTGGGATTAATGGCACGCAACTCAGCCTCCCACGTGGCTGGGATAACAGGCGCCCACCACCATGCCCAGCTAATTTTTGTATTTTGAATAGAGACAGGGTTTCACCATGTTGAACAGGCTGGTCTCAAACTTCTGACCTCCAGTGACCTGCCTAGGCCTCCCAAAGTGCTGGGATGACAGGTGTAAGCCACTGTACCTAGCCCTCCAAGGGCTTCTCTAGGGATCAGAAAACACTTAGGGGAGGCACTGAGCAACAATCTTGAGGGGATACAGGTGGCGGGAAAGAAAAATAGGTGAAAACCTCTGTCCCTACAACTTAAACAAATATGTCCTTTGGAGATTTCCTAATAAAAAATAACACTTATTCATTCAACAAATAATTATTTTAGGCCAGCAATGTACACATGTTGTGGCTGCCATAAAGGTAACTAAAAACAGTTCCACAGGAAGTGACCAGAGGCAGCTATGACATGGTACAAGGACTGACCAAAAAAGTTAAAAGACCTGGATTCAAATGTTGAAGTCCTAATACCACCCTCATTAGCCCAGGGCCTCCAGATGGGTCAGTCACCTAACCCATCACTGTTTTGTAGACGGAGAAATGGAGAGAGGTCAAGCAATTTGCCAGAGGTTCTGGCAAAGCAGTCTGGTTCTAAAGTGCATGCACTATACCACTATCTCTGTGACAACTGTGAAATATATATTTGGAGCTGGACACAGTGGCTCAACGCCTGTAATCCCAGCACTGTGGGAGGCAGAAGTGGGTGGATCACTTGAGGTCAGGAGTTTCAGACTAG